ATTTGATCTAAATCAAGAATTCTTAGGCTTTCTGGTGCCCCAGTGCAAGCTGTATGTGCTGCTGCCTTTCTCAAACCCTGCTACTCAACCCCACAAGCACTTGTTCCTGCCTGTGGGTTGGTTGGTGCTATACCTCAGGCTGATCCCACGAGGATCCAGGGCAGGATTCCTCCCCCAGGCACTCCTGTCAGTGCTGTCCAGATGGGCACATGCAGCCTGGGGCAGGTGGGACCATCCATCCCACCCCGGGCTCAAACACTTCCTTGGGCATTTGCCTTTCTGCTCACTCCCCTCTGGGTCTGGGTCACAGTAATGGGCCATGAAGAGCTGGGATCCCTGCAGCAGATCTAACTGTGACAGCACATAACAGGGGGTTTCACAGCTGACAGCCCGAGCAGGAGGAACTAATACCAGTCAGGACATGCTGCTGACAAGATCATTGTGATAATGTTTGACCCCTTTCCTTCCCTGTCAGTGGTAGCTCCTTTTTCAGCCACTTTCTGTGATAAATACACAAACCTCCACCCAGGGGGAGCTTGCCTGATGAGCCTGAGCACTGAACAAGGAGCTGGGAGCTGCAGAGGAGCACTGGAGTGTTGCACTCTGCATTTGTTTTACAGCTTGGATCCTCAAAACTGTTCCAGTGCCTAAATCCCAGTGATTTTAAATCAAATTTGTGACCCTACATCTTTAAGTCCTTTTAAAAGAATAAGATATAGGTTTTTTAAAGCACATGCAGCAGCTTAGACAGACCTTTGCCTTGGCATCTTTCTAGGAGTAATGGAATTCCCTCTCTGAGGACTATCATCACAGGGTTTGAAGAGGCTCTTTCCTTCACCAAGATAGGCCTTTCATTCACTACTTGCAAAGCAGAAGCTTCTTTCAAAAGCTGAATTGATATGTGAGGCTCTGGAGATGTATGTTTGAATCTCAGCTGAGTAGCAGTGCTGTGACACCTCAAGGACTGAGCAGAGGTGGCACCTCCAGCCAAGGTGCCCCCACAACTGCCAGACACGAGTCAACATCTCAGCACTTCCCTGGGAGACAAACATTCCCACAGTCTCCTTCCCTCCAGTGGTGTGCTAATTCAAAGTGTCAGTGCAGAGAACAACCCTGGAGTCACTGACAACATGAAGATTAGGAGAATCGAGTAATAACAGCCAGTACTTGCATTCAGCACTTTACCAGTATCTAACAAAAGTCTTGAAAGCCCACCCTGAATCCCAGTGGGTCTGTCAGATACTCTCCTACCTTCTTTCAATTCCATGTTCCCAACAGGGAGATGATTCTGAACAGGTTAGGAAGGGGTGGGGAGAACAAAGAGCTCTTTGGGAAGTGAAGAACAACACATTTTCTGCTTTTTCTCCCACCTGGGGAAGATGCTCCAGCCCACAGCTCATCAGCCTGAATCCTGAAAGAGAAAAGCTGATTATACCCCATAGCAGAGAACCTGTCTTTTACCTGTCTCTCATCCACACTAGCTGGGGTACAACGTAGGGCTCTTTTTCAGCAGGCAAATCTCCCCTGGTTCTGACAGGTAAAACTACTGGTGTCCCCACACATCCACCCTCTGAGCTCTGAGGGAGTCAGAGAAATCCCGGCCCCTTTTCTGCACTTCAGCAGAAAAATCCACCCCCTAATTGGTGGCTGTGATGAAAACTCATCAGGTCCAACTCTTTACTCCAACACCACCTCCAATCCTTTCTTTCCAAAGTCCCACACCTCACACACACAGGCTGGTTTTGCAGACTTCGAGATATTTCTATTTCTACCTGGTGCTCAGGGTACAGGAACTCTCCTGCAACACTTGGTAAGACTAAGCAACCACCCTGCAATTCTCTTAACAAGATGAATGCACTTGCTGTGTCTCTACCAGAAGCTACAAACACAAATTTCTGTACATTAGGCCAAAGACACACAACCTCCTCTCACCCTCCATGCTGTTGGGTGTGACTTTGCAGCTCCGTGAGAGGAGGATGGTCCCGGAGCCACTGGTCTAAGCGTGCCCCAAAGCATCCTACAGCTGCAGTTCATGGGGGGAAAAAGGCTGCATTTGTCACCCTGATAAAAACAACCCCGAGATGTGGCATTTTCCCTGAGTTCAGTGACTCCCCGTGCAGAGCTTCCCCTCTCCCTAGCAGCCCTTTATCCGGATCTCTTCGCCTCCCACCAGCAGGAACAAAAAGCCCGAAGCTATTCAGCTGCACTGACCAGACTCCCCTCCCTGGACTCCGTGAGAGTGATGTTTATCTTTCATTTCTCCTGTTGAGCCCAGTGCAGGAAAATCCTTCTGAAGATAAATCCCCTCTTTTTCAAAGATTGAATTTTAAAGGCAGTAGTTTGTAGTTGACGATTTGCTGATCGCTGGTGAGGAATAATAAAGCCTTTGATTTATAAACAACTGTGCCTGTATCATCTGGTCTCTCTTTTTGTCATGCCTTGCTTTTGACCTTGAAGGGGTCACTAAGTGCTCAAAAGAACCTTTTGATTGTGCCTGTCCAATGCAGCCACACATCCCCATATCATCACTGACAGTCATCACTGAATCGGTGCCTGACCATCACAGGCAGCAGCAAATTTACTGAGGGAAGGGTGACAGAGGGTTGGAAAGCTCTTTATGGGCTCCACACTAGCACTGTACCAGTCACCCCAATGGGACAAAGGGGGTTTCACCCTACTGTGGCACTGCTGACTCTGCAAATCCCAACTTACCCTCAGAGTTTTGTTCTTCCCATCAAACCAACTGCCTGGGGAAGGGTACAAGGGTACATCAACAGAGTGTCTCTCCTGGACCTGCCTCAACAACAGCAGGACCACCAATGCTCCCTTACCAATCCCAGGTAATTTTATATTTAAAGGAAGCATTAACATTGCATGCTTTGACAGCAAATACTTACGACTTATTGCAGACAGTTAAAGCAAAGGCACAAATTCCCACCAGGAAGCAAGGAATAGTTTTCACGGCTGTGAAGCTTTGTGGAGCCAGGAACATGCCCACTGCAATGTGAGCTGATCATATGGCCCAGCAGATTTTGACTTTCTCTTCGCCGTGTGTCACGTCCTTCAGAGCTTTCATGCCAACTGCCAGGAGACAAGAAAAACATACTGTTATTAGGGGGAAATCAAATATTCCATTTTCTGGGCAAACTGTAGAGGCCTGAGCTCTGGCCTGTCTTCAGTAATAAAAGTATTAGCGTTTTTACATAAATATTCTGATCTAGTCCCAGCCTGATTAGCAAAGAATTGCAAATGTACCTGGCTCTCCACAGCCTGCAGGGAAAAAGCTGTGCTCCTAATGCTTAGTTCTTAAAGCTTTGAGTTTCTGAACACTGATTTTCTGATAATCTACGAGTTGCTGTGAGTTTAATAAATTAGTCCAAAACCCCCTCCAATAAACAAACAAACATATCCCCGTGTTTTACCGTTCCCCTCCAGTGCTCCTGTTTATCTTCGTCATCCATGGTGAGGGTATGGTGAGTGACATGCAGGAGAGAGACCCTGGGGACAAACCTCTCTGTGTCAGTGTGACCCAGGAGCTGTCAGGAGCTGGTGGCACACGGCCATGGCACTGTGCAGCTTCTCCAGGCACAGTCCAAACAAACCCCTCTGCCCACGGGACTCAAGCAGCACAGCCCTGCCCTGGCCCTGGGTGGGAAAAGGACTGTTCTGAAGGTGATTTCAGGACTGGAAACAGAGCGCACAGAGTAAACCCTCTGCTCCACTTGGTCAAGGCTTCTAAAATCGAGTTTATTGCAAATCTAAAGAGAGACAAATTCTGATCCAAAGACAATGGAAAAACCAGAATACTGCTCTCACCAAAGCCCATGTAGGTACCCATACAGCTGGAATTTTCACCGGCCAAAATTCCCTTTCAGCAGCAACACCTGACTCTGATAGACTCCGACACATACCCTCACATAATTAAGCCAGAGCAGCATTAGAAAGAAAATATGACAAATGTTTCTCAGCTTCCCCAGAGGCACCAGAATCTGGAGGCAAAAATCAGCTTATGGATAAAACTGGTAGTGATGAGATTCCCCGCCTGGTGCTGCCGGGTTGGGGCACAGTCTCCTTTTCTGCATAACATCCAGACCTGCACCAAGTGCCTCTCTGAGGAGCTCAGGAGGAAGAAACCTCTAAGAGAAGGCAGATAATGAGGAGGGGAATGAGTAAGCAGAGGCTTTGAGTCCCACACAGAGCTATCACCCTCACCCCAAGAGCTGTGCCAGGAGTCAAAGCAGTGCTGGAGAACTCTCAGTGCTGCTCTGTGATGCACCAAGTGTGGTTGCTGCTGGAAGAGGTTTAAATAATCCACCTTTAAAAGGATGTTGTGCTGCCAACCTCCAAGGCAGAGTCACTGCTCAGTTCAAACACCCCCAAAGCTGGACCCAGCTCTGTTCTTGTTTGGTTTTTAGTCACTGGCTCTCTCCAAAGCCCATTGAAACGTTCCTGCTGACTCAAGTGAGCTCTGACCCAGACACCAAGCATGAGGCTTGACTGGGAATTGTTTCTTTGGCAAAACAGATTCCTTGGGTTTCCACCCTTTTATCACATCTGTCAAGAGTTTTTATATAATTCTTATAAAACCAGTATGAAAAACCATCCCTTCTATTAACCGTTCCTCCAAAATCAGTGCAGGAGTTTCCCTCTCCACTATGAAGGATGTACCATCCTTGCAGCTCCTCTCACAATTGCTCTTATGAAATGCAGATTGTTCACCTGAAGGTAATTTCTCTGTGTGGACAAAGAAATACAACAGAAGTCAGGAAATAAAAGAGGGTTTCCAGTATCTTTATTAACAACAGGTTGAGTTGAGGGGATCAGTGTGCTGTAGGTTTTGCATACTCCAAGTGGAATTTAACCTGTAGAATGAGACAATCCCTCTTTGAGGGAGAAATTAGCAGATACAAATGCTATAATTTTTCCAGTAGAACAGGACTAAAAGCCTTCCCACCTTGAATAAAAACAAACCAAGTACCAAAAGCAACACTGCAGTGAGCATGCGACTTCCAGAGCTTCTTCAGCGAGATAAAAGGTAAGTCAGAGTGCCAAATCAAACCTGCTGCTCTCCCTGGCTCTACCCTGTGCTCTGTGGCCCAGATCTCTGCCAGCTGTTTGGCACCATCACTTCAGTGCACAGTCTGTGCAGATGCCCTGTTGTATAACAACAAAACTCTCCCCTGAGCCAAGACTGTCTCCTGAGCACTTTTATGCATGCTGAAGGAAGAGGATTCTTTTTTTTCAGTGTACAGTTCTGTCTTTCAGGGGAGAGACAGAGTTCAAATCAAAGTGTAATAGTGGTTTGAGTTTCCACAGGAAATGACTTGGGGTTATTAAAATGTATTTTTTCCATTGTAAAATGATCTCAAATGCTTTAACACAAGGAGAGGGACCTAAAAATCCTGCCAGAGCCCGTACTGCTGAAAGTCACTGTAATAGCACACAATTTACATTCTTCCCCTACTGCAAAAAACAAAGACAAAGCCTTTGATCTCCCCATCTTTTCATGTTGCCACTGCAGTCTCTGCCAGGTGTAATCTGCAGCACTGAAGGTCTCAGGTTTACTGCAGCACTCCAAGGACGCTTTGATGACTTTGGATGTTCGAGAGGTGAGGAGCAGATTTTCTGGACTCATATCTATAACACTGGTGCTTGAAACGACATGGAATGGGACTCAGCAACCCATATGGTGCCCTCCTCTAGCCAGGCTGCAGCTGTCCCCGAAGGGAGCAGGCAGCACCAGCCAGATCCCCTGCAGGCGCAAATCCGCCCGGCGCCTCCGACCTCACCGTGTTCTTCCCACACGGCATCAGGGACCACAGAGCAACTTGCTCGTGAGCACTCTGATTAAGAGGTACGAGGACAAGCTCCTCCTATGTTCTTTGTGTCTGGGATGGCTTTTAAAAACCCACTCGACCACATTCCTGAAATAATGCTGACTGAAACCTGTCACACAGCCCTCTGTAGAGACTCTCTCCAGTGACTCCTCCAGGACCAGGACACTTGCCTTTCAAACATCTGGGTGGGGAGAGAGAACTCTAAACTTAAAATAAAGTATACCTGTAAATTTAAATTTAAGGGAACATTCCATTCTATCTATAAACATAGATATTAACAACACTCTTTCAGAAGTGGGGGACTGAATTTGCTTTTGCTCACAGCTTTGCAGCTCGGGAGTGACCCCACTGCAATCAGTGTGCAAAGTCCATGATTTTAGATAATCCTTTGCACCTGAGTGACAATTCTGGTTCAGAAACAATCTCAAAGAGAGATGAAGCCTTGTGTGTATTGCAGAGCACAAATGTTGTTCTGATGAGATTCGATTGCCAAGCTGCAGGGGTTATATATTAGTGTGCTGGTAACTTGAGAAAAGGATCTGTATGGTGCCACTATCGAGTTAGCAACGCAGCCAGATCAGTCTCTGGCTATCCCATGGGATATTATGCTGCAGTTGCTTTCGATACCTCTTTGTCATCCACTTCCACTGCAACACTACATTCCATTTACAGGCTCTGCACTAACAGATGGTAACTTCAAGCCTCTAAGTTTAGGAATAAGAAATGAATGTATGGATCTCATCTGACAGCACGTGCTTGGGATCTAACAAACCTCACCCTTGGGCTTCTCCAGAGACATCCCTCTCTGCCCTTCTCACGTGGATGCTGTATCAAGACCCCTCTGAACTTGGCAAAAGCAAAATACTTTCCTGATGCTTTGGCAAGCGATCACTTAAGTCTTTTCACTTCCTGCTGAGTAGGAATCCAACGGGAAGAGAGTCATCCCCATGGTGGTGACAGGGCACAAGAACATCTCAGGAAACATTAGTGCTCAGCTGGCCAGGAAGAACTAGTACAACTAAAGTCCATCTCACCCAAAGGCTGGAACTGTGCTTCACAGCATCGCTACACTCACAGCTGACATCAAGGACACATTTCACATGTTCCCCACCCCGAATTCAAAATTCACTCTCAACAATAATATTCCATCCAAAAGGTACTTCAGGAGGACAACGGGTTACGGAGATGGTCCCTAAGCTCCCAAACACTCACTGCCTACCTTTTACCCAGCCAGCACTTAGTTTTGAAGCTTGAACAGAGCAATGAGAGCTGCCTTTCAATTTGCCAAGGCAACAGCCTTCAGCTGCCCACCATATATACTGTGACCTTCACAGCCAGACAAAGCAGTACCAGCTATTCACTGAGATAAACAAGGGGCTTATAAAAAACAGACATTGGACATGACTGCTCAAACAGCCCTCACCATGTAGACTGCTACTATCTGCTTCCTAACATGAAGCCAGTTTTCTTAGGAAATTTTAAAATTAGGCATTGAGCACCTGGGGGGAAAAGCAGAAATATTCAAAGCAGAAATAAAATGCCAAATGGAGTAATTTTTTAAGATGGTTGGGTACGTTTTTGTGCATTAGCACAAATGCCCCTGGAGGAGAAATTCTGAACGTGAAGTACATGTGCAAAGAATTGCCCAGAGAAGCTGTGGCTGCCCCATCCCTGGAAGTGTCCAAGGCCAGGTTGGACGGGGCTTGGAGCAACCTGGGCTAGTGGAAGGTGTCCCTGCCCATGGCAGGGGGTGGAACAAGATGAGCTTTAAGGTTCCTTCCAACCCAAACCATTCTGTGATTCTATTAGTCTATGATTCTACGTTATTAATCATTTTCATATGAATACTTTTTAGACTATTACAAGAAAAACACATGGGGAATAACAGACTTTGAGGTTCATAAAAGACAGTTTGATCCTTGATGACTTGGCTTTGTGTGCAATAAGTCCCCGAGGACTTATTCTGACAGTAATTCTGCACTGAGCTCCCTACTCTTGTTTGATTAAAATACATCCTCCTGCACTTGCAGTCCTTATACTTAGGCATCTGGAGAAATGGAAAATTCACCACTCCTTGTGGTAGCTTGTCACCCACACTGCTGAAACATGTGTTCCTTGTGTACACAGACAAACGGGAAACATCACTGTTCCAGACTCCTGCATCCCCCCCTTTTTAATTCTGATTGATCACAGCTCTCACTCGCTCCAGGCCCAAGTCCACCCACTATTGAGTGCTCTGCTAATGCTTGTGGGTGTGCACAAGAGACTCAGTGCATGGTGAGAGCACAGGGCTGGAGGGGAGAAGTGTCTCTTGCTCAGAGAACGGGTTTTGCTGTGCTGCAGAATGACTTCAGGCAGCAAATACTTTTTTAAGGGTTTAGCAGGAGTAAGTTCCCATGGATACATGTGTGTATCCTACATGTTCAAGGAAACAAGTGTCTCGCAGACTCACTAATGCCTCGTGTTGCTCAATTAAACATTTTTGTGCTGGAAGGAAAAAAGGGAAGTTGAAATCAGGTATTTATTAAACAGATGAAGTAACTCTCTGTCCAGTAGAAGCTATTTCTCTGCTTACCTCTACCATCTCATGTGATCACCCAAAACAAATCAGGTAGCAGAACAGATGACAAAAGTATCTGTTCTGGCTTTTTTTGCCTTCTGTCCTGGCCACTAAATGAAGACATAAAAAACCAATGAGAGAACTGCTTCAAAATAAACAAGACAGAGGACTGCAAAAGTTGCATGCAACCTAATTCTCAGAGCTGATCTATTTATGCCAAACCCGGATCTCACTTGAAGTCTGTGGCAGTCAATCCCCTCGACTGCCATGCAGGCAGGATTTGGCCCTCGTAAAGTATTCGCCTGCATTCCCAGCTGCTTGGTCCAGCTGCCACAGAGGAATGCAGGGCTGCTGAGGGCACTGGTACGGGATGGAGTCCAAACTTCCAGTGAATAAAAACCTCCATCTCAGCGCTTGGATTTAAACTTTGTTGGTGCGATGGCTGAATCCGATAAAGCAAACCCCTGCCTGACAATAATTGAATTCAGGTTCTTCTCCTTCACCAGCATTAAAATCGTGTTCGAGCCAGCTTTTTATTGAATATAGCTTTAAGCATTTGGAGAGAGACACAAACATTGATGAAGGAAAGCAGAGTTATATGTATGTGTGTGTGTGTGTTCACTTCACAGCAAATTACAAACAAGTACTCAAAACAATATTTTTACGGGGCTGAATCCTGCTCCTACAAATCAAAAAGACTTTCACCACTTCATAGCATGCCCCAGAGAATTAGTTGACAGTTTGCACAAAAGCACTTTGAGTAGGGATTAAAACAAGCAAATAAACACATGGCACTCATTTTAGCACTCTGGTTTAAACAGAAATGTTTGCAGGCTTAAAAGCCAGTTAATTCCTATTGGAAATCAATGGGAGCTGAGGAAATACAGCACTCTGGTAGTCTTGAAAAGCTGTGCCTTGACTGTGGATTGCACTGATCTCTGCTTTCTCTAAAGTAAGATTGAAATGTAAGGTGCTTATCGATTTTCAACTGTCCCCAGATTTCCAACCTAAGGGGAAAAGTTGCCTCCGTGAACCTCATTCATCCCACTCTGTGCTTCCCCCTCTTCAGGAGAGTCACCCGTCACTGACGCTCGATTTTAAATCTTACTACAGCATCGCCACGCTTTTCAGAGCAAGATTCAAAACAGGAGCTATTGCCACGGCGAGAAGAGGCTGTTCCAGCCCCGGTTCCGTATCCACCTCCCTCTCAGCCTCTCCGAGCGCATCTGGAGCGCCGTGCGCCGGGCACCTGCCGCTGCCTCTGGCTCTCCCTGTTGGCCGCTGACATTTCTTTTGCCCGATGACTTGAAAGCAAAGCACCGAACCCCGTCGCCAGCGATGCCCCCGGGGGAAGGCAAAGCCAGATTCCAGCGGAGCGGCCAGGAAAACTTTTCCGGGAGCTCCCGCAGCGCGCCGCTGCTCCGCGGGGCTCGTTCCGCGGGGCGCTCCGGACCCGCTCCCGGCTCGGGTCCCCGCCGGGGCTGAGCGCGGCTCCCCGAGCCCCGGAGCCCTCCCCGGCCCCAGAGGGCACCTGCCCGCCCGCTCCGCGCCCCAGCCCCGCACGGGGGTGCGGGGGTCCCGCTGCCGGTGCGGGGCAGCCCCGGGGCGCGGGGGCGGCCCTTCCCCGGGGCACGGCCCTGC